CCAGCCTGGATGATAGAGTGAGACTCCATCCAAGTAAAAAACAAAAGTGAAAAAAAAAAAAAACAACCCAGCTTTATAGAGATATAGTTCACAAACTGAAAAACTGATCCATGTAAAGTGTACAATTCAATGGTTTTTTAAAATATATTCACAGATATATTAAAATAAGCAACCAGTACCACAGTCCATTTTAGAACATTTTCATCACTCCAAAAGGGAACCATGTATACTATACCCATCACTTCTCCACTCCCCAGACCTCTTCCCCAAGTCCTAGGCAACCACTAACCAACTATCTCTGTAGACTTCCTTGTTCTGGGTCACTCATATGAATGGAATCAGGTAGTATGCAGTCTTTGGTGACTGGCTTCTTTTACTTAACCTGTTTTCAAGGTCCCTGCACGTCATACCATTTATCAGCAGCTCATTCTTTGTTATGGCTGAACAGTATTCCATTATATGCATACACCATATTCAGTTAATCTACTCATGGGCTGATGAACCGTGGGGCTGTTTCTACCCTTGTCTATTATGAATAATGCTCATTTCTCTTGGGTATATATGGAATTGCTGGGTCACATTATAATTCTACGTTTAATCGTTTGAGGGACTGCCAGACGGTCACATAGCAGCCGCACCATCTTACATTCTCACCAGCAGTGTGTGAGAGTTGATTTTTCCACATCCTCACCCACACTTATTTTATTTTTCCCATCCTATGATTACCCATCCTAGTGGGTGTTAAGTGGCATTTCACTGTATGTTTGATTTGCATTTCCTTTATGACTAATGACAGTGAGCATCTTTTCTTTTCTTTTCTTTTTTTGAGACGGAATTTCACTCTTGTCGCCCAGGCTGGAGTGCAATGGCGCCATCTTAGCTGGCTGCAACCTCTGCCTCCCGGGTTCAAGCGATTCTCCAGCCTCAGCCTCCTGAGTAGCTGGGATTACAGGCACCCGCCACCATGCCTGGCTAATTTTTTCTATTTTTAGTAGAAATGGGGTTTCACCATGTTGGCCAGGCTGGTCTCAAACTCCTGACCTCAGGTGATCTGCCCACCTCCGCCTCCCAAAGTGCTGGGATTGCAGGCGTGAAGCCATCGTGCCCGGCTAACAGTGAACATCTCTTCATGTGCTCATTGGTCATGAGCACATCTTCAGGGAAATGTCAAGTCTTTTTTCCATTTTAAAACTGGGTTGTGGTCTTTCATTGTTGAATTGTAGGAGTTTTTTTTTATACGTTCTGGATTGTAGACCTTTGTCAGATACATGATTTTCTCTCATCCTACGGGCTGTCTTTTCATTCTCTTGATAGTGTCTTTTGATGCACACGTTTTGAATTTTAATGAAGTCCAATTTATTTTTCATAGAGCCTTTTGTATAGTTTTAAAACTTATAGTGTTTATAAGATAGTACAAATATAGATACAAAGAATAATCTAATGAAACCACATGTACCCACTACGAAGATTTCACATAATCATTTGACTTCAGACTTTCAGTGACTGAGGTTTTAGGTGTGGCCGAGTATTTCTGAGACTGGGTTTTGCAGGTTCTCTGCGAGGTTCATCTTTGGCTCCCTAGTATTTCAGTTGACACTCCTGCTCCCAGAAGAGGAGACTCCCTCCTCTTCTTGTTCTTCGGGGCTCTCACTCTATCTGTTGCCTGCTGCCTCCAGTATCATCAACTTCTCTCTCTAAGTTCTTTCTTAGCAATATCTAAAGCTGACCTCTGTCTTTAAAAAGTTGAGCTCTTCCACACTGTGCCCTTCTCTGGCTGCCTTCCTCCAACCAGCATCTGTGTCATTAGTAGCACAGATGCTCCTTGAGTGACTAACGATGTCATGTTCTGATAAACCCATTGCAAGTTGAGAATATCCTAAGCCAAAAATGCATTTAATATGCCTAATTTGCGGAACATCATTGCTTAGCCCAGCCTTCCCTTAAATGTGCTCAGAGCACTTGCACTACCCTTACATTTGGGCAGAATCATCTTACACAAAGCCTATTTTATAGTAAAGTGTTGAATAGCTCATGTGATTTATTGAATACTGCACCAAAAGTGAAAAACAGTGATTGTATTGGCACTTGAAGTACAATTTCTACTGAATGCCATCACTTTCATACCATCATAAAGTTGAACAATGCTAAGTTGGGACTATCTGTACAATTTCCCTCAAGTATATCTTGGATCTCTCACTCTCACCCCTGGGGTGAAAAACCTTCAGGGCTTTGTTTTCTCTCGACTCCCCTGGGCCTGGGGTAGCAAGGTCTTCTCCCGGGAACACAGTGCTTGTGAGAGTCTGCAGGTGGTTGCAGGACTGGGAAGGTTTCTGTCCTGTTGAAAAATACTAGCACTTAGCACAGTACCTGACACACAGTAAGTACCCAAACTATGAAGATGACGATGACCACAGGCACCCTCACCACCAGCACTGCAGGTTATGCCAGAAGGGAAAAAGCAATTCTGACAAAGCTTTGGCTATGACGTTCCCTGTGGGCGCCCCTCAAGGTGCCTCCCTCTGTCACCCTCCACCCCCCCTCCACACACAACTTGAGAATATCCAGCTTTCTCCATGCTTCTCAGAGAGGCCCCAGAGGGTCACTCTTTCCAGCAGGGTAAATTGTGGCAGTTCCTGTGGCACGGAAATAAGCACTCCCTGGCACAAAATGCACCCCCACAACCCTTCACCTGTTAACCACTGCCCCTTTCTTGCTTCTTAAAGCTTAACCCTCTCCTCCTACCAGTTTCCCTTCCCATGGTGCCTTCCATTTATAAACTGATTAGGTCCAAGAGGGCCTGGGCACCACTGGACTTCAGGCCCTCTTGGAGGCTCCAGAAGAGTTAAAAGTGTGAAAGGGGAAGGGAGCCCAGGTTCTGCTGGGGACCCAGCCTGACTCCTGGGTCTCTATAGCTTCGCTATCTCAAGGTGGAGGGTGGGGGAGACCGCAGTTTCAGGGGAATTAGGGGAGACCGCAGTTTCAGGGGAATTTGGTGCTGTTTTCCAGTCTCCCCAGCTTCTTGTACTCTTGTTAGATTTGGGGGCAGTTTCCCAGAAGAGAGTCTGGAATCTACGACCGGCAAGAGAAAAGGGAAGACAGGCTGGCTGAGGACGTCTGCACCTACAGCTCTACAGTCCAGACTCAACCCCCAGAGACGGCTGCTCATCCCCACCAGGGGGCCACTTTGTGCCAAACCAGAGAAGGACGGGTGGGGAAGGTGGAGAGGCCAAAATAAAAAAATCTGTCAACTTGGAAAGAGGAAGTAGGCAAGGTCAGCCGTGTGTGGATTGCAGGCTTCCAAGCTGATGGCGCTGGCGCTTCAGAACCCGCTGCCTGCTGGGAGCTGAGCACGGGGCTGACGGCTTGCGCTGGTTGCGGAAGAGAGGAACCAGAGTTCATGGGTGCCACCTTGCTCAGGAATCCTGCCTGACCCCCTTGAAAGTTAAGCTTTTCTCCTAGTGGTTCTTTCCTCTGGCCCACGACCAGGCAAGCTCGCCCAACCTACCGTCTGTCCCCAGCTTCCAAACCGCTTTCAAACCCCTCCCCTCTTAGTCTCTAAAAGAGTGGATGCCTGGGTCTCCTTGGCTCCTCTGCCAAGAAAGTTTGGGTTTCCTCTGGCACTTCTCCAGATAAACCCTCCCAGCCTCCGTGGTCCTCACACTCACCTTCCCCAAGGGCTGCAGCGCAGGGCCTGCCCAAGACCCCACCACACCCTGTCTGTCCTCAACTGGGGGCCACACCGCAGTTCACACCTGGATGTGCAATGGCCCCCTGAGGTTCACTGGTTCCTAAGAGGAACTCGTGATCAGCCCGTAGGGGACAAAACCGTCTACCCAGCCTCTCAGCACAAGAGAGGCTCCCTGTCCTCTCCCTCTCGCAGGCATCCAAATTCTGAAGCTTCCACCTCCTGAGAACGTCTCTCCTTTCGGCCTCCCTCTCTTTGGCTGGATGACCCCAAATCTCGCCCTAACGCTTCTCCACTGGCCCCCTCTCCGTCACCTGCTAAGGAAGGGCCACGCTCCTTAAGCTGAGGCGCCAGCAGATTTACAAGTTTTGAGGGAAAACAACGTATTTCTCTGGTTAGGCCACTCAGGGCATAAAAGACCCAAGGTCCTGGGAGACCCCACGACGGGGCTTCCTTTTGGAGTCTGCATAGAGCAGAGCGTGCAGGGCTGGTCGTCCCGTTGCGGGCTGGCTCGCCAAAGACGCCCCTTCCTTGCCTTGCTCCCCCAGGCTCTTGAGAGAGCCCTGGAGAGTTCTGGAAATCCTGCTACCTTTAGGACCTGGCGGATCCGAGTGGGGGGGGTCACCTTCCCCGCCCCCAGCGAAGTCGGCGCCGGAACTGCCCTAATGGAAACCAGCCGCGAGGCACTCCAGGAGGGCTCAGGCCGACCCTGGGGGCCATCAGAGGTGCGCCAGGCCGAGGGAGCTCGCGGCGGCTGGAAGATGAACTTGACATCCAGGCTCCACCGACCCGTCAGCGGCTCGCACCCCATCCCCACTCCGGCCGGACCAAAGTAGAATCCGGGGTGTGCACGTGATTTCCCAGGGAGGGCGGACTCGGGGCTTTCCCTGTCGCACCCTCCATCGGGGGACCGTCCCCAAGTCCCCGAGAGTCCCTCGGGCAGGATCCTTAGGGCTCAGAGCATAGGAGGACCTGGCTTGCCTGGTGGAGGCGAGCAACCGAGGGGTCGGTGGAGCTGCGCCCCAAATGAGTTCCTGGCGCGCGGTTCTCCCCACCCGGACCCTTTGTCCGCCTCCTTCTCCCTCGTCCCGGCCCTAGGCTCAGGGGACCCAGGCGGCAGCGGCGGAGGTGGCAGAGGCAGAGCCCAGAGGCGCAGCCCTGACAGCTGGGAGGGTCTCACGTGGAGCCGTCCCCGGGATCCGCGCAGTGACGGCGGGGGGCGAGGGGGTGGGTAGGCTGCGGGCGCGCGGGATGGGGGCTGGGGCGCAGCCCGAGAAGTGGGAGGGGATCGGGTGAGGGGTGGTCTCTGAGGAGGAGCCAGGCTGGACCTTATTGTTCCGCGCTCGGCCGGGGAGGGCGCGGGGCGTTCGGCTTCCCATGTTCCTCTCCCCGCCCCCGCCCCGTGGGCGCGAGAGGAGGCTGGGGGCTCCTTGTGCACCCGAGACGCCGCTGCCTGGCTCGCCGGGTGGGGTGTGGGTCCTCCGAGCGGTGCCGGGAAGGAGGTGCTCTCTGCCCGCGCTCCCAGGACTGCTCTACCCAGGGCGGGGGTCGGGAGTGGGCCGACCCCCGCAGCGCCCTGGGTTGGCGGGCCCAGAGGCTGAAGGCAGCGAGGAGCTAGGGTCCTTCACCCTCGTCGCATGCCTCCCCAGGAGTCGGCGTCCCAGTTCCCCGCGATGGCCGCGGGCCGCTGCCGTACGGAGACGCCGCGCGGACTCCGGAGCGCCCCTTCCTAGCGGGGCGCAGCTCTTTCTTGTCCCCCGCCGGGCCAGCGGGATGGGGGGCGGAGGGTCGGTCCTGAAGGTCTGCGCGGACCACCGCGGGGGCATCAACTGGCTGAGCCTGAGCCCCGACGGGCAGCGCCTGCTGACGGGCAGCGAGGACGGCACGGCCCGGCTCTGGAGCACCGCCGACGGCCAGTGCTGCGCGCTCCTGCAAGGTAGTCCCTCCCACCCCCTCCCTGCCCTCTTCGCCGTCGCTCACCGGCCCCAGACCGCGGACCCCAGCTCCTGCGCCCGGACCCCAGCTCCTGCGCCCGCAGATCCCTTTCTAGAAGTCCAGCCCCGCTCACCCCCGCACACTCGCGGAAGAGCGTTTGTCTGGGCCCACCATCTGGCTATTGAGCTCTCGGCAGGGCAGGGTAAGGTCCGGGGGTGGAGTGCGGGTGCAGAGCAGGGTGCGGCCGGGGGGGCGTCCGCTACAAAGGCGAAGATCCTTTGTCAACCAGCGTCAGGAAATCTCCCTTGACAACAATGTTAACAAACAAAAAGTTAAACCTATACCCCTTCTAAGCAAACCTTCCCTTGTCTCTAGGTGTTTTGTGGCCTCTTTGTGGCCAATTGTGCTTTTCTGGCATTTCCTGTTGACGACTATCGTAGTAATAATAGGGGCTTGTTAAGAGCCAGCGGTGCGGAGAAGTGTGCCGTCGTCACACTATGTTACCCCACATACAGACATGGAAGCAGGCTGGGAGTTAAGGAATTTGTCCAGGTCGCACAGCCAGTGAGGGGTAGATGGCAGTCTGAGCCCTCTCATTGCTGTAAACCCCGCCTGCATGCCTGTTGATTTCTATTTGTGTCCTGTACTCATTCAGGAGGTCAGTGTGCCTCGGGTTCACCTTCTCCTGGGCCTGTCCCGTGCACTGTGAGGTCCCTTTCAGCTCTGACCCTCCTACCGCCCAGGTAGCACATGCAGTGGTTGAGCCGGGAGGCTTTCTGTTGTGGGTAGTTCTTTATCACCGCCGGCTTTTCCATCATCATCATCAGTGAACTCTGTGGCCTCGCTCAGGCCTTCCAACTTAGCTAGGATATTAGCCCCAATATTGGCTAATCCTGATACTGATGGTTTTAAATAAGAGCAGTTGACCAGGTGTGGTGGCTCACACTTGTAATCCCAGCACTTTGGGAGGCAAAGGCGGGTGGATCACCGGAAGTCAGGAGTTTGAGACCAGCCTGGCCAACATGATGAAACCCTGTGTCTAATAAAAATACAAAAAATTAGCCGGGCGTGGTGGCGGGCGCCTGTATTCCAGCTACTGGAGAGACGGAGGCAGGAGAATCATTTGAACCCAGGAGGCAGAGGTTGCAGTGAGCTGAGATAGTGCCATTGCACTCCAGCCTGGGTGACAGAGCCAGACTCTGTCTCAAAAAAAAAAAAAAAAAGAAAGAAAGAAATAGGGTAGATATTTCAAACCCAACAGGGATGACTTTTGGATTACCGGTTACTTGGGAGTTGGTGTGGATAATGGAGAGGTGGCCACAAACTAACCACATCGCCCCCAAACAGCCACACACACTTCCAGGCATGCAACCAGGAACGGAAAATGTGAGGTCTTTTAGAAATGTTAAGTCCAGTTGGTATTGCTCCCAAACATAAGACTGTATTGGGAGTAGAGGGGTGGGTGGTGTTTCTGAAATGCAGATCCCCAGGCCTGGGATCCAGTGATGCAGTCCTCCGTGAATAGAGCTGTAGAATTGGCGTTTCTTGTTGTTGTTGTTTGAGATGGAGTTTCACTCTTGTTGCCCAGGCTGGAGTGCAGTGGCATGATCTTGGTACCCTGCAACCTCCGCCTCCTGGGTTCAAGCGATTCTCTTGCCTTTCTCCTGCCTCAGCCTCCTGAGTAGCTGGGATTACAGGCGCTCGCCACCATGCCTGGCTAATTTTTTTGTATTTTTATTAGACTTGGGGCTTCATCGTGCTGGCCAGGCTGGTCTTGAACTCCTGACCTCAGGTGATCCACCAGCCTTGGCCTTCCAAAGTGCTGAGATTACAGGTGTGAGCCACTGCGCCCAGCCTAGAATTGGCATTTCTAACAAGCTTTTGGGTGATTCTTATGCACAGCTGGCCCCGGGAGCCCCTGGGCTGGGGATGATGGATTGTGGGAGTCCAGCTCATTAGGTGGGTTTTCTCCCCAGTGGGGGTCCAGGCTTTGCCAGACTGCCTGTGGCCTGGTGGGTCCTTGGCTTTGCCCCCATGGCAGCTCTGGAGCCTCACCAAGCCTCCAGGGCCTACCCTCCTGCCCAGCTCTGTGCCTGGCACCTGTGCTTCCTTCCTTCACACCCACTTTGGTGACCCTCACGGCTGCTTGTCCCCTTGAGGTACTTACACTCGCTTTCCAGGGAGGGTGCCCGATCTTCTGCCCTAATTGAGGGCAGGGCTGTCCCCACTCAAGCAGGAAACTGGAATGAAAGAACTGCAGCCCATTTTGCTAGGATTATTTTTGCTGTTATATGGGTTGGCATTTCAGAAATTTTCAAGGATGGGGACAGAGGTCATCTTTCTTTATCCTGAGATTCTGCTGATACACTCAACTTGTAAGAGTCATCGCGAGTGTGTGACAGTCCTTTGGTGTGGACCCCCAAGGAGAGCAAGGTCTTGCCAGTTCCTTTCTCCCGCAGGATTTTTTTTGTATCAGTGAAATATTAAAACGTCTTAACATTTGTTTAGTGCCCCATATTTTATAAATACACATCTCTGTGCTTTGTTATTGTGTAATGATAATCCTCACGACACTGAGGCGGGTGGGATTGACACCGGTTTACAGAGGAGAGTGGGAGGTGCAGATTCCTTAGCAGCACACGCGGCATTCCCGTTGTTTTCTAGATACCACCGACAATGGGGTGGGTGCTGTCGCCAACATCCTCGGAGGCGCGGTGCGGTTGCAGGACTCATCCAGGGTGCCGCAGCTGGTCTGTGGCAGAGAGGGCTTCTGAAGACTGCATGGCGCTTCTCTTACCCCAGATGCCACTGCGGGGGAAGTTGTGTCCGGACCACACGGTTAGTCTGTGGTGGCCCCATCCCTAGAAGCGTCCTCACTCTAAATCTAGATCTTTCCACTCCGGCTCCTTCCTGGTCCTTGCACAGCTCTGGCCCACAGGAGCCTGTGGTTGGCCAGTCCTGGATTTCTTGGGCAGAGCGGCTGGGGCTGGCGACTCCTAAGACCTCTCTAGAGGTCTTTCCTCTGGAGACCTCTGACTGTGTTCATGGCAGCAGGGGCAGTCAGGGGCTGGCTCACAGTGAAAAAGGCTTCATTGCAATTACTCTGCAAAGAGAAGAATTACTTGCCACGTGCTTATCCCTGACCCCCTCTTTTTCAGGTTTATTCATTGGGTATCTCCTTACTTGGGGGCACTTTGTTGGTTTGGTGAGATGAGTGGCATTTTCCAAAATGGTGGTGCCTATCCTATCCTGTTCCAGTTGAGTAGGGGACTCAGCCTGAAGGTGGCAGCCCACTGTGGCTGTCCCACTCGCTTCCTCGGCTTCTAACATGAGGGGGCGGGGATTGTGTTTCATTTCCTGGGTACAACCGCACATTCCCATTTGCTGGGAGCCTGTGGCTTAGGAGATTCCCTGTGAAACCTGGCAGGAGAGCAGTGGCGGAGAAGACTGGGCTGAAGGAGGCCTGGAGCACACCAGTAACAAGAGCTACAGCAGCCTCACACGGCTTGGGGGCAAGTGACCGCTCCCACTGGAGAAGTCCAGAAAGCCAAGCTGCATAGGTCTTGGTTCAAAGTGGGGCCTTGCAGATTTGCTACGAGTCTCTGGTGGCACTTCAGTGTCCATTTCAGCCATACTGTCGGTGCTTCTGGGCCCAGATGTCACCTGCCTCAGGGTCCCGGCACCCTCAAAACTGGGTTCTAACAGGAGAGTTTAATAAAGGGACACTCTGCAAAATGCAGGTGGAGCATAGGAGAACCACAGTGACTGTGGCTCGGATCAGCAAGGCTGCCACCTCTTCTGGGCCTGAGTCCGGGATGCAGCCGCTGCATCCTAGAAACAGCTGAGAGGGCTTCCTTCCAGGTTGGATGGCCACAGCCAGTCTGAGGGAGCCCTGCGGGGTCGGAGCTGGGGGAGGGGAACGTATCCTGACCTAGAGTCTCCACCTGCAGCTCCCACTTGTCCGAACCCACGGTGGGCTCCCTTTTATCTAACCCAGTGGGAGTCTTAGATAAGAGTGAGCCCACTGTGGATTCATGTAGTTGGTGGGGGCAGGGTAGAAAAGAGGGGGATTGGGGAGCAGAGGAAGGCTCAGTCCTGGACAGCAGGCTCAGTGGGGCTTTCCCAAGTGAAAATAACCCCTTGTGCTACAAGGGCTGGAGTAAGCCAGGTCAGCAGTGCCATCCCTGCCCCGTGTGGCCACCAGGGCAGCTGTCCAGTCCGTTGTCTGAAGCTGGGACACAGGGAAGGGAGACACAGCTTCCATGCAAGTCTGGGGCAACCAGCAAGTCAGCCCACCGCCAGCAGAGACCTGCCACCACCAGGTCCGAAGCTCTGAGCTGCTTTTCCTGCATGGGGTGGTGAGGGAGGGAGCAGTTTGACTTGCAACTTCCAGTGAGTCCTCAGGGTGTGCAGGCGCTACTTTGGCAGAAAACTATCGGCCTCAGCATGTTCTTTGAACATAATAACTGCATCTTATCTGCATTCTTCATCCCTTCAGAAATATTTATTTTTAGTTTGGCTTTTTTGCTTATTCTGCACAATCCCTGCAGCCCCTGGAGGTACGATGAACCCGCCCTCCCCAATGCCTTCCCTCTTCTGTCCTGGGGTCCGCGGGGTTGGGGTGGGTGCCTCGTTGGGGTGAGGGCCTCAGCTCCAGGGGTGGCAGGCCTGGGTCCGCCTCCTCCGTGCTAGGGTGATCCCTCAGGCCTGGGTCAGTGGAGGTCTGGTTAGTATTCTGTGGAACATGGGGATTGGGGTTGGGGACATGCTCTGTTGGCCCGGCTCCGACCCGTGACTCACTCGGGTGTGTGTTCAGATGTGGGTGACTGCTTGGAAACCCAGGGGAAGAGCCTATCCACAGCAGAACCCTGACCGCTGTGGGCCTCTGCTGGCTCAGTGCCAGGCTCTGCCACAGGGCAGAGGGCAGAGGGCATCAGGGCAGCCTGGCCTGGTTCAGAAATGGAGGGTTTCTTTAACCTTCATCATTGCCTGTTTTCTTCAATCTTTGCATGTATTTACATTCTTATCAATTTGCCATCATCTGCATATATATCCTTTATTCCTTACACACATCATAAAGTGATCCCTCATTTCAGGTCTTCAGCATCTCTGGCTTCAGGCTTTAGTTCCACCAGGTATAGATGCCACAGCTCACTAGCTGCCATTGGCTTTTAAGTGCTTTTCTTGGCTTAACATACAACTTACTCCCGCGCTTCACCTTCCTGTGACTGAGATGGGGCAGGAGCAGCTGGGCTTGGCCTCGGCCCCACAGGATCCTTAGGCAGGTGCCCGGCACCTGAATGCCCACAGCACACCTTGACCGCCTTTCTATCCTGGGTGTCTCCAGCCTGGATCTCTCTACTGAGCCCTGCTGGTGGCAGCAGGGAGGGTGGGACGGATCTGTTCCCAGGGAAAGTTTATTGACAATCTTAAAATATTTTATAAACCCTCTGGGGTTGGCAAAAATCTAGCCTGTGTTTTGGCAAACACATTGCCCTCAATGTTTAAGCCGACATGTATTTTAAAGGAAACAGAATCTGCAGTTTCTTCAAATGTTGACTTAATCCGTGCATTGTTTTCTTAGCAGCCTGGTATATGCCCTCCAGGGAGACGGGAAAACTTTTTTGTTAAATTATGTTTCTTAGAACTCAGGACGTTGCGTTTTTCCAAGAGTAACTGAACTTAAACTCAGGGGGTCGGGGGAAGGGGTGGATGTGAATTGGCTCGAAACTACCCAGGAATTTTAAATCCCTGTCTACCCAATACCAGCTGTCTAAATGAAATTTTAAAATTCTATCAACATTCTTAGTGTAATCAGTACATTTCCCCAAATGTGTGGATGTTTGAATTCGTCCGTTGTCTCATCTGTAAAATGGCTCTTAGTTCTAACAGTCTTTTGATTGGACTTCCTGGTCCCTGAGTTCCTCAAATCCAGTTGGGCCTTCCTGTCCAACACGTTCTGCACCTGTGGATTCATCCAACCACAGATGAAAAACATCCAGGAAGAAAAAACAACTCCACAAGCCTCCAAAAAGCAAAATTTGGCTTCGCTGCTCACCGAGTACTACGTTGAATCCACACGAGTGAAGTGATGTGTAGGCATCGCAGTGGCTGTCATAAGTAACCTAGAGATGAATTAAAGTATGCGGGAGGATTGCATAGGTTATGGGCAAATGCCACGCCACAGGGACCTGAGCGTTGTAGAGTTTGGTATCTGCAGGGGATCCTGGAACTAATCCTTGATGGGTATTGGGGGACAACTGTGTACACACCATCTTTACCTGAAGGGAAGGCCCTACTAGCATCAGAGACCCTGAGGGCACCCAGGGCTGCTAAGCAATGCCTGAGGCATGAACATTGATCTGGCAGTCAGGGCAATAGTCAAGCTATCTAACTGCACCCATGAGATAGAGTCCCAGCCAGCCGGTGGGGTAGCTCAGGTGCTGGGACCCCAGACATCGTGGCACGGCCCTTCACTCTTGGCCCTCCATTCTGGCCTCATCAGCCATCTGCTAAGCACTCAGACTCTGGCCTGGAGGCGCCCCATGGAGCCAGCCCTGCATGCCTGCTCTCCCAGCCGCTGTTCTCCCTACAGACACCGAGTCACCCTCTTCTGGTCCCCAGTGCTCAGGCACTGTGGTTGTATTCAGCGCCCACCTGGATAATCTAGGAAAATCTCCTCAGTCAAGGTCCTTAACCTCGTCACATCCACAAAGACCCCTTTCCAAGTAAGGTCACATTGACAGGTTCCAGGGATTAGGACCTGGTGTCTTGGGGCCGTCGTTCTGCCTACCACAGTATCTCTCCCCAGTGTAAGAAAAATAGTGAACATGCGCGGTTCCCTCTGCGGCTGCCTCTGTCCTCAGTCTGCGCTACATCCCGTGAGGCAGGCACTGTCCCCGTCCCAGGTGAGGAAACGTGGAATGCAAAAGCTGAAAGGTTTGAAAAAGACTAAAAGAAGATGATAAAGAATGAGGAGGGAAGGAGATGAGGGAGGAAGGCAAAAGTGGAAGCCAAGGAAACAGGGTTTAAGGTGCAGGCGAGTACCCATGGATTGCTCCTGCTGCTGATGGCTGCTGTGAAACCTCAGTTCTTGTCTTCTTAGTTTAAAAGAATTGAAACAAGAGACACAGCAAAGGAGATGCAGCATAGAGCAATGTATTGCACAGGAGGAAGAATACCCTGAAAGTTAGGTGCAGAATAGACAGGATGCCCCGAGAGGGGAGTCAGGGTGGGCTGCCCATGAGGATGAGACAGCAGAGACCGGCTGGAGGAAGGATCCCTTTTTCGGAGTCTTACCTGATTATTCGTGAGCAGGTGGGGAAGGGGGTTGCTGGGAAGCATGTTCTGTGTGCACATGCACAGTGGCTGTGCATCCCTGTTCATACGTCACATGTCTCACTGGCATCTTACATCTCCATGCAGGGCTGTGTTTTTACTATTGTAATGAGCAGAGTGTCACTCCGAGGACAGGTATAAATCAAAGTGCACGTGCTCTCTGCAGGGGAAAGTCCCTACTGGAGACAGCTTTGCTTGAATGAGCCTGCCTGCCGTGCGAATCCTGGGGCTTACTGTGTTGACGGCGCAGTCGCCGTGGTTGCTGCATCCTGAGGACATGGCTACTTCCCTGACTATCTGTCCTGCCTCACTGGTACCCCATGCTTCCTGAGAATCACTCAGACTGAAGTCATTCTTTAAAAAGGATGAGTTGAGGGCTGGGCACGGTGGCTCACACCTGTAATCCCAGGACTTTGGGAGGCCGAGGCAGGAGGATCACTTGAGGTCAGGAGTTCGAGACCAGCCTGGTCAACATGGCGAAAACCCATCTCTACTAAAAATACAAATAATTAGCCCAGTGTAGCAGCGGGCGCCTATAATCCCAGCTACTCAGGAGGCTGAGGCAGGAGGATCACTTGAACCCGGGAGGCAGAGGTTGCAGTGAGCCGAGATCGCACCACTGTACTCCAGCCTTGTGTCAGAGTGAGACTCTGTCTCAAAAAAACAAAACAAAACAAAACAAATGCTAATTGACTCCAGCTTGTCTCAAACACTCTCTACATCCTGCTTTCTTCCCTTTTCAAACATTGTTCCCAGAAGAAAAGCAGCAGCTGGCATCCCCAGTATGCTCATCCCCAGTACGCTCATCCCCAGTACGCTCATCCCCAGTACGCTCATCCCCAGTACGCTCATCCCCAGTACGCTCATCCCCAGTACGCTCATCCCCAGTATGCTCATCCCCAGTATGCTCAGTATCTCTCCTGTCCCTCATCTGCAGGACACGAAAGCTATGTGACCTTCTGCCAGCTGGAGGATGAGGCTGCCTTCACATGCAGCGCCGACTGCACCATCAGGAGGTGGGACGTGCTCACCGGGCAGTGTCTGCAGGTGTACCGAGGACACACATCCATTGTGAACAGGTCAGCCTGGCTGGGGGCTTGAGCCGAGTCTCACCATGGGCCCCTAGTGGGGCTGAGGGGTCAGAGATATGGGCCTCTGCACGTGAGGGCCCTCAGCTCTCTGGGGAAGTAAAAACGTGAACAGCTGGGAGGTGGTCAGTAGCACCCAGTGACGTGGACCCAGGACAGGTAGCAAGCTCAGTGCCCACGGCTGCATGTGGGGCAGGGAGGCAATGCCCATCCTCTGAACTGAGCCTGATGCTTTCCCCTTGGGGGCACAGCTGCTCCCCGCTGGGTGCAGGGAAAGGCACCAGAGCCTGCAGCTCGTATGGATGGGGACAGATTCCGTAGGAAATGGTTTAATTGAGACCGGTGGTGGACAAAGGTTTGCAGGAGGAGGAGCGTGGGGGATTGTTCTGAAGATGGAGTTGAGGGTATTTTTAAGCCTCTCCTTTCTTTGTGGCTGTGGAAAATATCCCAGCCCCTTCTTCTCAAGAAGGTTGGAATTGTTCCTTTCTCAATGAATTTGGGTCTGAGCTGAGCAATGGAAATTCCTTTGCTGATCAGATCAGTTGGACACTGTTGGAGTCACCTGTGGTGGTCGCCTCGGACTCCTGAGGGAAACCTCCTGGTGCCCCTTGGGCCTGGAAGCTGCACTGGAGGAGGGGCGCTGCCTGGAAGCTGACCCAAGTAAAGACAGGGTGGTGCAGGCTGGCACTGGGGGGGTCCTGAAGGTGGGGCTGGGGGCGCAGACCAGACAGGATGAACCCCGCCAGAGGGATGCTGCTGGTTGAGCTCTGACGGGAACCCCTACTCAGTGGACCAGCACAGAGGGGACAGGAAAGGCAGTGAGAGCCATCAGCCCAGCTCGCTGGAGTCCCAGATGGCTGTAGCCAGAACCGATAATCCATAGTCGGCGGGCAGGGAGCTGGGTGACACCCTGAGGAGGAGGCTGAAGGGATGTGGGGACTTCTTAGAGTGAATGGGGGGTATGCAGACATCAGGTAGGGTGCCCGACTGGCCCCAGCCTTCCTCAGCTGAAGCAGGTGAGGCCCTGAGACCTGCCCAGGCAGCCCACAAGGTGGTAAAGAAGGGGCCAGATAACTCAGGGCTCACAGCTCCACTGGCCTCTTCCCAGCACTCTGACTTCCCTGAGAAAGAAGTTTGCCAAGGAAGAGGAGAATGGGGCTGGGGAGCACCCTCCTATGAGTCAGGCAGAGGCTACGATGGGCTCAGCAGGGAGAAGGCCTGCCAGCAGTGACCAGTGGGCCCTCAGCTACCAAACCCACAACTGTCAGATGCTTCTCAAAAGCAAAACTGGACCATTTAAGGTAGAAATCATGCTCGGCCAGGTTTACTCTTGCATGTGCACACACAACTGACACATACACACATGCACACACAACATACATATACATCATACACACAACTTATCTACACATGCATACACAACATACATATACACCATACACACAACTGACACACATACACATGCATACACAACATACATATACACCATACACACAACTTGCGTGCACACACGCACAACATACATATACAACATACACACAACTTACACATACACACGTGCACACATACACAACATACATATACACTCATACACAAATTACATACACATACAACATGCATACAACATACATATACACCATACACACAACTTACACACACATGCATACATAACATACATATACACCATACACACAACTTACACATGCATACACAACATACATATACACCATACACACAACTTACGTGCACACACACACAATATACATATACAACATACACACAACTTACACATACGTGTACACATACACAACATACATATGCACTCATACACAAATTACACACGTATACAACATGCACACAACATACATATACACCCATACAACTTACACATATGCACACACAACACATGCACACACATAGACACACAACTTACACAAGCAACAAAACATACACATATACACACAAAGTACATACAGGCACACATCACACACAGCACACATGCACGTATACACACACGCACACACATACATATACACATGCACGCATGTACACATGTGCTCACAACACATACAAATACACACACTATTTTGGATCAGTCACGGCTCCAAACCCACAGCTCTGTGTAGATATTTGCATGATTAAGTAACTGTCCTCATAAATCAGTGAGATCCCTGAGGAACTCACTTCCTCCCGTGTTTTCAGAGCCAGGTCAGGCCTGTGAGCTTCGGGGTCACCGATGGCTCAGTGGCCTGGTGTCCCTGCCTTCTCACACCAGGCAGGACTCAGCCACCCCCTCCATGCCCCAAGGCCTCCCGCTGTGCCCTTCCTCCCACTACACCCTCTTCCTCCCGCACTTTGCCTCAGCAGCATCAAGGCATCATTTCCTTTAAAAATACATGTAGTCCCAGCTACGCGGGAGGCTGAAGCAGGAGAATCACTTGAACCTGGGAGGTGGAGGTTGCGGTGAGCCGAGGTCGCGTCACCGTGCTCCAGCCTTGGCAACAGAGTAAGACTGCATCTCAAAAACAAAACAAAACAAAAAAAACATTTCATGAAAATCATCCTATCTGGGTCTTAGGGAAGAAGCCAGCTGGAAAGGGGTAGTTGGCATTTGAGTGCAGCCTGTGTTGTTGAGCTGCTTGTGGGAAGTGAGGAATGCTGTTGGGACCCTGCGGAGGCGGGAGGCAGCAGGCTTGTCCCCTGAGTGGGTCTCCTGTCCACACCAGGCTGGCCGGCAAGCCCTTCTCGGCAGGGCGGGAGGAGCAGCAGGTCTGGCCGAAGTCCTGATTCAGGAGGGTCCCACCCTGGCAGGGATGCACCTTGCTCCAGCGCAGCCACAGCCGCATCCCTTGGCGGTCTTCTGGGGTGCAGGGCTTCTTACCAAGGCTGTGTGTGCAGACCCCCTGAGGTTCTGTGCAAAGCTCTGCACTGAATGTGCAGCTACTGCAAATGTGTGTTTTTCTGGGGAGCTCTTGGTTTTCATCAAAATGAAAATAAGAGTGGTGAAGACTGTGTGGGGGCCTTGGTCTCCCATGGTTGGTCAGTTGCACTGCATGGACGTGTTGTAACCGAGCGAGTTAGAGAGAAACGTCACACTTTGAGACGAATTCAGGAGTCCTTTATTAGCCGGCAACCGTGAGACGGCTAGTGCTCAAAATTCTCTCGTCCCTGAAGGAGGGGCTAGATTTTCTTTTATACTTTGGTTTAGAAAGGGGAGTGGGGGAGTCTAGCTGTAGCAATCTTCCAGAAGTAAAACAGGGAAAAAAGTTAAAAAGACAAATGGTTACAGGAAAGCAAACAATTCCAGGTGCAGGGGCTTTAAATCCATCACAAGGTTGGGCTTTGGGCGCTATCAACCGGACACAAACGCGGGGGCTTTCGGTACTATCGATCTGGCGAATTCCTGGGAACTGCAGATGTAGCTTGCCACAACATCAGTTAATTGCACAGCAATTATCAGTTAATTGCATTCTTTGATGTGCTGGGAGTCAGCTTGCACAAGTTAAGTCCTTGAGGAAGGGTGGGTAAGGAACCCTTAATGTCTTGCAAATGAAGGAGCCAAATGGAGTCCATCTGTCCAGCTTTCTCAGCTAAGAGAGAGTCAATTAGGTTAATACAAGTTAGGGTATCACAGACGGACTCTCTTGGCTACCCAACCCCCAGTTCCTAGCCCTGTGGCTGGAACCCTGTTGAGGCTGTGACCTCAGTCTGCATGGGGATTGCCATGAGAGCTGGCAGCAGAGGCCCCCACTGGCTGTGGCGTGATTCCTGGCTGTGCCTCCCACAAGCACCCCTGGGTGCACTATGGGAGTTCCCAGTGCTCTCCAGCCTCGCAGGGCCCTCAACTGAAGCGCCCCAGCCCAGCCCCTTGAGCCGGCCCTGTTCCCAGGGTGACCAGCATGTCCCACTCTGCCCTGGACTTTCTCAGTCTTAGGCTGAAAACCCTGCATCCCCAGAAGCTTTTCAACTCTGGGCAAGCTGGGAGGGCTGTGCTCCCCTACCTCCTCCCCCTACCCCCTACCCCTACCCCCTTCCCGCTGCTCCTGGAGAGCTGCTGTGGGGATGTTGGAGGGATCCCAGCAGAGTATATAAGCTTGGTCCCTGCTACAGGTACCTGCCTAGGGGCAGGCAAGGAAGGGTGGGCATGAGGGGAATCAGGGTGGCTTCCTGGAGGTGGGGGCAATTTGAGCTGGACTTTGAAGGTGAGTGTGGCAAGCTGGGCAGACACAGGGAGAGGTTATTTTAGCTGCAGTGCTGAGCATGGCCCGTTGGGAGGCTGTGTGGATTCTGGAACCTGTGCCTTCTGATCCCTGACCCCTTCCCTCTTGCCCCCAGGATCCTGGTTGCCAACAACCAGCTCTTCAGCAGCTCCTACGACCGGACAGCTCGGGTCTGGAGCGTGGACAAGGGGCAGATATCCCGGGAGTTCCGGGGCCACCGAAACTGCGTGCTGCCTCTAGCCTACTCTGCCCCGTGGGACCTCCCCAGCGCTCCCTGTGTGGAGGAGGCTGTGGCTGGGGGGCTCCTGGTGACTGGCAGCACGGACGGCACGGCCAAGGTATGGCAGGTGGCCAGCGGCTGCTGCCACCAGACACTGCGGGGCCACACGGGCGCAGTGCTGTGCCTGGTGCTGGACACGCCCGGCCACACGGCCTTCACGGGTAGCACCGACGCCACCATCCGTGCCTGGGACATCCTGAGTGGGGAGCAGCTGCGGGTGTTCCGGGAGCACCAGGGCTCCGTCATCTGTCTGGAGGTGAGATTGTCCTGGTCCCCACCCAGCTGCCAGGGGAGCCCAGGTCACCCCCTGCACTGCCGCCCTGCCCTAGGTGTCCGTGATTCGGCTGCATAACAAAGCGCTGCAGATGGGGGCCTGGCAAGCGCCACAGAGGCCTCGTGGTCCTGGGGCTGGGAGTCCAAGATACAGGGTCCGCAGGATTGGTTTCTGGTGAGGCCTCTCCTTAACCTGTAAGCACTGCTTTCTCCCTGTCCTCGTGTGTGTGTGCGTGTGTGTGTGTGTGTGCGTGTGTGTGTGTGTGTGTGTGTGTCCTAATATCTTCTTAGAAGGATACCAGTCATACTGGATTAGGGCCCCCTATGAACTCATTTTAACTCAACTGCCTCTTTAAAGACCCTCTTTCCACAAGGCCACATTCATAGGTACAGGGGCCGGGTAGGGCTGCAACATGTGAATCTGGGGTGGGCACGACGTAGCCCGTAACACTCAGCTTCTGGATCTGCATGCTGGGCCAGGGCTGGGGCACATCCTGCCTGCAGGGCGCCTGGAGCAGGTGTTGACTGTTGTCCTGGTTTGTCTTTGTGCTGTCAGGCTGAACACCGGCAGCCTCCTGGGCTGCGTCCTCCTGGCCTGGGGACTGGGAAGTGGCCTGTCATGCTATAAGCCGACAATCAGCATAGAGGAAACACACAGCGCTGTAATGGTGTGGCTTTGTGGGATGTGGGGTTGCTGCCCCGTCTCCGTTGCCTCCCCTGGACAAGCTACCCAGTCTCTGTGGGCCTCAGTTTCCTCACATGTACAAGGAGGATTACACCCCTTCTTAATTCCTAAATCCAAAAATTCCAAAAAACAAAAAATGTTTCTTAAGCTTGACACGAAAACTCTGGCCTGAAGTGACTGTGTGCGCTTCCGTCATCCCAGTGCCTGAGGGTCCTCACACCTTTACTGCAGATGCAGGAGTGTGTCTGTAAGCCAAAAAAATCCCGAAACGCGAGGTCCCAAGGTTTTGGATAAGGGATTATGGTGTGAAGTTGCCCCATCCGTGGGCTTGTGGATTTGGTGAAGACGCATGGACAGTGCTGCCAGGCAGCCCTTAGCCGCCGCGACCACAACCATCCTTGCTGTTGTTGTTGTGAAGGACCGAATAGTGTGCCTGACCGGAGGACCTGTTGGGTGTGATCCCCTACGCTGGGGTCTAGATGTTCCCGGCTCGGTCTTGGCCAGCCTCTGCCCTGCTCCAGGGCGGGCCCAACCCCTGAGGCAAGCAGTTTGGGTGCATTGCTGCCAGCACCTGGTGCTCAGTGAAGCCGCAGAAGACGTGAGGGACAGACTCCGGGCGACAGGGCTGGAGTTGGGGCAGCCCTGAGCAGGCATTGCCGTGCTCAACCCCACAGGAGAGCCAGGCCAGGGACCCCATTTGGGGTTCTGGGGGTAAGGGCGGCCCCAGGGCTCCAAGACCAGGGGAGCAGGGAAGGGCTCACTTTCGCGTAGAGGGAGGGTCACCTAGGTCCCTGAGATGGTGGGTGGGGCACGTAAACCCCACGTCTCTAACTCAGCTCCCACCTGAGGACATTGGGATGGGTGGACAAAGAGAAGGAAATCAGCAAATGCCGCGAGATGAGGGGCTTGGGAGGGCAGCTCGTTGTGGGGAAGGGGCACAGCGGTACAGGCCTAGCTCACACGGTCTGTCTGCACAGGTTCCCCTTGGCCTCAGCTCCACCCCTGGTGATAAGAATGTTTCTGTTTCTTAATCTCCTGTTTTCAGGAAGGAAGGGAAGGTCAGGGTGCGCTGCTCGCATCTGTTTTTCACGTTCGTTTAACTCGACATCATCCTTATGTTAAAGGGGCGTGTTTTGGGGAGCACACTCCACCACTCTTCACACTCCCCAGCCTCCCTCCATGTCCTTACTTGTCAGATGATGGTGGGGATAACAGCTCTCCTAGTCTCCCAGCATCCCCGTGAGAGTCAGCACTAGTGGCCGAGACTCGTAAAGAGCTGGGGGCATCTGAGGCCTCTTTCCTGGCAGGCAGTTCCATGGCGGGCAGTGTGGAGTGAGGCTGAGACCTCCCCACCTGGCTCATGTCTGTGCTCTGAGCTTGCTGGGGCAGGGGGTCGGGAGGGGAAGGGGCCAGGAGTTCTCTGGGAGGCCTGTCCCAGATGGAGCTGGTGACTCGCCCTCATGTCGCCAATGAAAGAGAGGAACCAGCCCAGGCATAGAGAGGCCGCTGGCCAGGTGGAGGCAGGTGCTGGACTGGCCGGGGAGAAAAGCAGCACTGTCCTCCCAGGTGACAGCTGCCCCCACCCCAGGGGTGACGGGATCCCGCAGGTTCGCTCCCCGGGCTATTCCGTACGGTCTCTGTGCTGTTCTTCCCGGAGAGTGGGAGCATAGGGTGTCCTGGCAGAGAGTCAGGAAGGCAAAAGGAGAGAGTGCAGGGGGGCCAGCTCCCACCCCACACACCTGTGTGCACACACAGGCATAGGCGCACACACTCCACATGCACACGCATGATATGTGTGTGAACGCACACCCCACAGGCACACATGCACACATGTGTGAACACTGCACAGACACAAGCCACACATGTATATGCATGCCCACGAACATGCCACGCAGGCACACATGTCGACGGGTGTGAAGAGAGAGCCCCTGAGGGGCAGAGGCTCTGGCTGTGGACTCTGCCTTTGTTTTCTTTCCCTTTGAAACTTAGGCAGCCCCACAAAGCAATTTGAATGGGAAGAGGAGTGGGGACAGAAGGTGCCCATGGGAACAGCCAGGGACAGCCTGGCCCAGGTGGCCAGTGGGGCTCAGCCCTAGCAGAAGGGTGGGGTGCAGGGAGCCAGGACTGAGGAATGGGGAGCTATGGAGATGGGCAGGGCTGCCATGAGGGCTGAGACCCCCTAGGAATGCACTGGGGGTGGGAGGTTCTGGGAGGTGGAGGTGAGCCTCTCAGGACCATTAGGTCTCGTACAGACAGAAGGAAGGCAAGAAGGCAAGGAAGGACCTAGCAGGCGCCTGGGTAGCAGCCCCACGGTGTGCAGGGTGCACAGCCTGTGACAGGCCTGGGAGGTCCCTGGGCAGCCGGAGGCCCCAGAGTCTCAACTTCTGGTAGTGGCAGGGGTGGAGTTTGCCTCCTCTGTTAGACTTGGCCTCCCCACCTGGGAGCCAGGCCCGAGGGATGAGCGAGTGAATGGGCGGCGCTCCACAGGGGTCGGAAGCTGCAGGAGGCATGGGCAAGGCCACTCCCTGGGTGGGGGCTTCAGGGGTTACATGTTCTCCACACAGGGATGCTCTCACGGTCGAGGACTCTGGAGCTTTACCCCTGTAAAATAAACCCTAAGTTCCAGCGTAAGTCCCCTTCAGGGAGGGGGTTCCTGTTCCCTGATGAGGAGTCAGTGGCGGCTGGGTGGGGGTCAAGGTGTATGAGAGGCTTGGGGAGCGGGGGGCACATGGAGAGAGGGCCTTGCTGGCTGGCTGGATGGGGGCGTGCAGGCAGGAGAGGGGACATGGCCCAGGCCTGGGTACAGGGGAGCATCAGGCTGCAGCATAGGCTGGGGCCCCCAGTCAGAGCTGGGGTCCAGGACGTCCACTCTTGGGGAGCAGATGGCTGGCTCCAGCCTGGCTGTTGCGTCTCAGCTGGGCAATCCTTGCCCTGCCCTGAGCATCCGAAGGGGCTGGCAGAAGGAAGGCAGCACACGCCTTTGCAAAAAGAGCAGCTGGCACTGAAGGCAGCCAAACGTCTGGTGGTTTGGTGGCTGCTCAGGTGGTCACTAAGGTAACTATTCAGTGACAGCCCGCTTCACTGGGGAAGGCTTGGTGGCTGAGGTAGAAGAAGGGCCCCCATTGCCCAGGACGGTGGGATAAGGTGTCAGCCTCACGGTGCGTGGGAGGGGGCCGAGGAGGAGGGGCGTCCCTGTCCTTTGAGTTCTAGATTCTAGGTAGACAAGGGTTTCTTTCAGTTTGTTCCCACCATCTCCCTAATTGTTCAGCACCTTCTTAACCCTTGGGAAATCTGTTGGGTGACATTTTGGTGCATCCAAGTGTGTTGTAACTGCCCATGTTTAAGAGTCCCTCTTTCTCCCCATCACAGGGTGGGGAAAGCACCTTTTCCCACTCCTCCAGATCTGCCTCTTGAAAAGGACTGTCAGGCCCCAGACCCGGTGCTCAGAGAAGCAGAATCCAGGCGGCCCCTTGGCCTCACTCGGGCTCCCAGCTCACCCAGCTGCATGTGGGGGACCATGCGGCCCACAGAAGGGACCATCTTGCCTTTCTCTTCCCTTGTATATGATTTCTTTCACCTGACACCACTCAGAACATTGGAGTTTTGCAGGGGTTAGAAGGCTGCTGTCTTACAAGCTAGGTTTGATTGGGGCAATGGGACATTTCTAAACTGTCCTAAACACAGATTCAGGGGCAGGGAGCCAGGGCAGGAGGCCGGCCTCATGAGCAGATCTGGGAAGCAGGACTTCTGGATCTGGCGTCCCCTAGCCCTCGCCGGTGCCCGCCCCCACGGGTGGCTTCGTCAGCTCTCCTTCCTGCCCTCCGTGGCTTCTCTGACAGAAGGCCATCACCGCCACAGCCTTCATCAGACGGGCTGGAAGTGTGGCTCGTGATCTGCCTTTCCAGAAGGGCCTGATTGGTCCTCTTGGGTCCAGGAAGCACAAGAGGGGGACCCACAGGATCAGCTGGGGCTTCCCTTTCAACCATTTTCAGTGTTTACTCAGTGGCGTGAAGCACATTCACGGTGTTGTGCAAGCATCATACCATGATTTCCAGACTTTTCCATCAGCCCAAATCAGAACTCTGTTCCCCATCAAACACTGACTCTGACTCCCCACTGCCCGGGCACCTGCCCTTCTGCTTTGTGTCTCTGAATTTGATGACTCTGGGTCCTCACATGAGTGGAGTCTTGCAGGATCTGTCCTTTCCTGTCTGGCTTATTTCATGAGCGTAAGATCTTCAGGGTTCATCTGTGTTGTGGCGTATGGTGGGATTCTCTCCTTTTTCTGTGGTTGATAA